CTAAATGAAACATGAGGCCCGGGGATGCACTGAATTTAGAAAGGTTTGTCCTAATGCGAGATGTGGCAAAAGGTTCATTCAGGTAAATACAAACAATTACATATACATTCAAATTGTTCTGCAACTATTGCTGAAAAGTAACAACTGTGACAATAAACAGAAATTAGTTGAGGGTACAAAAATGTTATTCAGCTTGATTATAACTGTGGATAGGAAGCTAATTAGCTGGATATGCATCACATAAACTTTACGTTAATCTAGAGATGTCCCGATCCGATCACGTGATCGGGGATTGGAGCCGATCACGTGATTTTCAAAAGATCGGAATCGGGAGAAAAAAAATCGGGGATCAGGATTTTTTTATTTTTTTTTATAAATAGCCTACTTTTTTTTAAATGTTGTATTCAATGTTACAAAAAAAAAATGACCATGTTCAAGTCTTAAAGTCATCCTGAGGCCTTAGTTTTGGTTTCAAATGACAGAACATCATGTATGTGTTGCTTCTTTGGGGCTTGTTTTCATAGACCTGGTTGCTTATTTCTCTCAAATCTGGCAACAGAGTGGGCGCAGTGTCTAATTGTAGCAGTAAGCTAACGAGTACTGAAAGCTTTATTTTGTTTTGATCCAATGCTGCACAACTGAACTGATCCAATGCTGCTGTGAAAGAAAGAAGCTATATCCATGTTGGATAGAATATCCAATTTAAATAAAAAAATAACCTTAAGGGACAACTTGAATGCTTTTTTTCTTCTCTTAATGCATTGCATAAAGATCGGATCGGGAAAAATCGGTATCGGCAAATTGTCAAAATCAAATGATCGGAATCGGATCGGGAGCAAAAAAAGGTGATCGGGACATCCCTAATTTGGAATATCCTGCTCACAACCACCTGACAGTTTTTGATACCCAAGGCTACAAACCCATATAAGTTGATATAAAAAAAGTATTCACGATCAATACTTAATAGAAGCTCAATTAAAGTGTTTTTGCATCATCATCTGTGATACTGGCTACCTTGATATAAATAGCTTATGCTGTCTTTGATGCAGAATTGCTGTAAACTGATAAGACTACACTTTCACAAGACAGTCAAACGTGGAATAAACATTGCGTGTCTCTATTTTTCTTGTCCGAAAACATCAACTATATTCCCCTGAATGCTGCTACATTATCAAAGCTGTCCAGTTGTAGTTAGTGCCGCCCTAACAAGGACTTTCACAGCTTCAACAGTGGAATTGATTTTGTGAAATACTTTCCGGGCAGTAACTGGTCGACTGCCAGAAACAGAGTGAACAAAGCCACCAGGCACAGCTAATATTTAGCTTTGTTACTGTTTGTCTAGTAGCTGCTGGTAATCTGCCACAATGATGCTGGCCCTTTGCTCTAAAGGGCCTGGTGTGTGCTCTTTAAAAACCTGCATGTAGAAACCACACTGGCTAAGTAAAAGCTTTCTGTTTCCAGCATATATATAAGTAGCAGACTGCAAAATTAAACCTGAACTTTTGAAAGAACATCCATAACATTCATCTGTTTGCAAGTCATATATATCAATATTCCAATGACTGTATAGTGTATATAGACTATTCTGCACTGTTTGTATTCTATTCTATTTACCTGTACTATTTAATCTGTTTTGTTGTGTTGCACTGTTGGAGGAGCCTGTGACCTAAGATTTTCATTGTCATAACTACAGTGTAGCTATGCACACATGACAACTTAAAAGACTGCAGTATTGTGTAAACTGTGAAAGGTGCAGCGGCAGGAAACAGGATAAGTTACAGTCAGAAGTTAATCTCAGGGATTTAAGCTCGTCTGCCTGCCTGTGTGTGTGAGTGTGAGTGTGAGTGTGAGTGTGAGTGTGTGTGTGTGTGTGTGTGTGTGTGTGTCTTAACTACACTTCAAAATAAACAAACACTGAGCGGTCACATTAAGAGCTAATGAAGCCGTGTTATGACCTGTTTCCCCTTGACCCTGTATGCCTAACAGGTTGCCCTTTAACCTGGAAAATCTGTGCTAAAGCTGAATGTTGACAAGCGTCTATCAGCTGATGTGTTTTTGAGCAAAGCCGACCCTCACCTCCTAGTTTCTGTTCAGGGATCAATACTTTTAAGCAACATTAAAGCCTTTTAAAATGCCATTTAGAGGCAGAAGACGGCTAAAGAGCGCCTTCTTTCAAAGCGTGTGCAGAGCTTAATACACAGGTTAACTAAAGGAACTAATATCTTAGGTTTCAATTAACCATCTTGTATTTACTGTACATTTATATTAACACCATATAGGCTTTTATACATTTTGAAGGGTTTGTTGTTATTAGAGAAGCAAAACTACAACAACAGCCATTATTTACAGAGGCAACATCAGGTTGTAACCCATGACAGGAAATGCTGGGTTTCTCCATCAGTTACAGATAATTGACAGATAATGTCCGCTGAGGAAGTACTCAGATGTTATACTTAAGTCAAATATCATCATCATTAACATATACTTAAAGTACCAAAAGTAAAAATACTCATTGTGCAGATTGTCTAATATATATGATATGCTCTTATTATAGTATGAGATGCATTAAAGTGTTATCAAAGCTGCAGATAGTTTTAATGAATTTGTATACTGCAGGGTAGCTTGTGAATTTACACCAGAACTAAAGTCTGATTTAAGAGTTGATTATATTTCACATCATTCATCCAAATCTGGAAAGTAACTAAAGGTATTAAACACATGTAGTGGAGTAAAAAGTACACTTTTTACCTCTGAATTGTAGTGGAGTAGAAGTAAAGAGTAGCATAACATGTAAATACTCAAGTACTTAAATGTACTCATTTACTTTACACCTGATTTGAAAAATGCAGATGATAACCTATTAATTCCTCTTGTATGTGCAAAAAGGTATATACACGTAGCTTTTACAATAAAGGGAATACAAGTTAGGATTAGCATACAACAGTGGCAAACAACTTTGTCTTTTCAGCTAGCATGCTAAGCTAGCTAGTTTCGCCCTTCTTGCATAAACAAACTACAAGCTGGCTAATAATAAACAGTCAAACAAGCTGTGTTTTCGCTCTGTTTTCAAAGTAAACCAGTGGAGTAAGGAGCTGACTGTTAACAGGCTACAACTTTCTGGAAAACCCTGAATGTTATTATTATCATGTTAGCAGAGACGCTAGCCTTAGCTCAGCCATGGTTGTATAAAGAGAGAGAGAGGCGGATTCACCATTCATTCCTATGAGAGTTGCTCAGTGGCGGTTGAAGCCTAGAATAAAACTGTAGATTCAGAAAGTACCCGGATGTAGGCTCACAGAGCATGCGCAGTAGAGTTTTCCTTTAAGCCCCACCTTTTATCCTCCTGCTCTCGGCTCAGTCAAACGAATGGATGTAAAATGTGTACACCATTATACATTTTCTTAAACCTAAATATGTTCATACAGCCCTTTACATCATCATTATTAAATCAAAAATTACTCTGAATTCGGCTTTTTAGCACATTTTGCAACTGTTAAACCCCAATGATGCAAATTATATCTGTAAAATCTCAACAAAATAAAAATACACTGATTTACAGACGTCTCTTTCCCCAATGTAAGTCAATGGGAAAAAGTGTTTTAGGGCCAGAATGACGTCACGGGTGTGGTAGTGACACCTTTTCGCCACCACGGCCATTCATAAAAAAATCTGCTTCAACGGCCGGCCACTTCCTGGAGGTTTGGGGCTAACAGGCGAACAAACACTAACATTAAGGCCGAAAATCAGCTCCTTACCATCGTACAAATCGAGGCGATCTTTCGGACTGTCATCAGTATTTCCATCCGTAAGCCGCCATGCTGGACCGAACCCCGATGTTGAAATTAAGAGAGCCGTGAAGGCTGCAGAGTTTCGGGAGAACCGTTTGCTTTCTGCCCGGTCTGTTACCATTACAGAGTAGTAACCACCACTTCCGGTTTTGGGATTTCAAAATAAGACACCAACTGGAGAAAAAAAAGAATGTGAATTTTTGTTTTGCTATTAATAATCGTATTCATTTATATATAAACGCTCATGTTAATTGTGTTACTGATATACTTAACAACAATAACATATGTTAAGAAGGCGTTAAATTAATAAGACCAATACAGGCAGGATGAATTTTGAAGAAAACTGATGTGGGGACTGCTAAGTATAGGCTACATATCTTTTTTCAAATTTGGCTATTTGGGTCTATAGATTTCCAACTATAATTGTAACAAAAGAAAGGTAAACAAGATCAAAGTAAGGAACAGACACAATAACAGAAAAATAACCTAAAAAAAGCTTACCAATGTCTGTAATAAAGTCATAATTTAATTTGAGTGTCTTATTTTGAAGGTAAGCACTCAGCTTCCAGTATTTCTCCCGTCCGAGGGAGTGTCACGGACGCACCAGTCAGAAGCTCTTTGGTTCGCTCGATTCTTCTCACGGGGGCTAGACTCGGGGGCGGTGCTTTGGTTAGCATTTCCCACTATTCCTTAATTAGGTTACACTTTGTGGCGTTAGGGACAGGGGAGAATTCCTCATTACTAAAGATATTTAATTACTAAAAGTGCTGTATGAAACAAAAATGGACGCTCATTGTCATCAAGTAGACAAGAAAACATTAAGTTGACCTATGGATAGATACTAGATAGATGGATAGAGAGAGAGAGAGAGAGAGAGAAGAGAGAGAGAGAGAGAGAGAGAGACAGACAGACAGACAGACATACAGACAGAGAAAGAGAGAGAGACATCCTAATTTCGGAAATTATTTCGTCACAGAAGCGTTTTCAGACATTAAAATACAATAGGCCTACTTAAAAAAGTGGAAAAGAGAATTAACAATTGCAAATAATTGTTTGGCACGTTCAATATATTTTTCAGTTTATTTGGCAGCTTCATTCTTTTAAAGCTTAATTTCCTTGTTTAATGGCCCTTGTGATATCTGAGGGCAGGCTGGAAAAAAGAGCCCAGTTTAGACAGGTCTCGTGGGAATATTAGGGGACGGTTCAAAGTCTCCCCCTCCCTCCCTCTCTCTCCCTGCTATCTGTCCGCAGTCAGAAGCATCTGGAATCTGTGCGAAAGGGACTACTCTTTTGTATCATATTATGTTCGCATTTTGCATTTAAAACGGTGCTTTTGACACTATTTCAGTTTTTAGATGACTTCCTATTTCTGAAAGATCCTCGGAGGGATTAACACTTTTTTTCTCACTGGAGGAAACTCAACTGGAGAAATACTTGGAATATACTTGGGAATGTTGCACCACCAAGGAAAACCTACTTTTTTCTGCATAAACGTCCAAGAATAAACAACCAGCATTATGGGAATATTGGAGTGATTTTCTTCGGTGTGGAAGGGGGGGTTGTTGCAGGACTGTTATTCCCCCACATAGAGCAGATCTGATCCGGGGTGCAGAGGGGGTTTAAATGCGGCTGATTGGAGACCCTGCACCGGGAAACATGAACAGCAGCAGCGGGTCTGGAAACTTTCTGCTGGTTCCCATCCCGGAGTATCCCCTGCTGGACTGCGTGCCCAACAGGACCGCAAAGATCGTGGTGCTGGGGGCCAGCAACGTCGGGAAAACCGGTATGCATGTGTGTATGGAAGAACTGGGGAAAGAAAAAAGCAACATTTAAGTGAATTAGGAGTTTTTCCAAGCATTTAATGCAACTGTAATTCATCTGTTTCCTTGTAGGGATTACTACATGCATGGGTTTCATGTAGCTTAATAATAACTCATGATAATAACCAGAAGTTTAACCTCTTAGCATGCAGCGTGTTATTGTTAGGAATGTCTCTGTGATATAGTTGTCTAAAAGAGGAGGAATATAAAAGAAAAATCGATATTTTTAAATAAATACCAACCCTTAGCGACAGGGGGCGACATGTTGCATTCTGTGTAGCCTTTTAGGGTTTTCAAATATACTTTAATTTGTGTGGTGAAAGAAAGTATTCAATAACAACATAAAAAGACCCACAACTAAAAGCCCTGCATGCATACTGGTACTGTAATTAAATCACAAGAGATGTACTTAAATTATCATGTGTTTGCAGAATGAGATCTTTTAGAGTGTATAGTGTGGATTATTATTACTATCATTGATGTGTCAGCTGTATTTAAGTCACGTTGTGGAGTGAACTTGAACAATGTTACACCTTTAAGACATTATACTTTAAAAGGTGATCATATGTCTGGTATGTTCACTGAAATACAAGTTGTGAAGTACAAATATACCTCAAACAATTGACCTTAAACACGATAAAAGTACAACAGAAGTAATTGTAGTTGCACCAAAGTTTTACGGTCAGTATTTTGTTTGTTATAGTTTGAGAAACCTATCCTAATTATGTCATAATGATGTCATTAGGGTTAAGTCGGCCTATGCTCAGAGAGTAAACATTTTATAGCAGAACGTCTGCATTTCAATCTGGAGGTGGAGAGTTATTAAGAGTTAGCAGGCAGAGAAGGGTTTACTAAAAGAGAGTACCAAGTTGCATTATGGGAAATGTAGGATTCAGGTTTTTTTTTCAAAGATCTTGACCCATATGGATTAAAAAGGTAAACACATCTCTGCCACTGTGTTATTCGCACTATTTTATGAAAATGGGAAAGTGGGAATTCACTCATGGGAATCAAAACCTTCTTCTAAAATGAAACCAGCCTCTCAAAGGAGTCAGAAAACATCGTCCAAAATCCCCAAAAACAAGAGATGCATGAGACAATCATTTACCAGGATGACGCATGAGGGATTACAACATCACATTCAGAGTATGGGTGAATCAGTTTCTTGCGTCAGACTTTGGGCTTTCTGTGTGTTTAAATCATCTCTCTGCTACAAAAGTCCATCAAATATGTGTCCCAGAATAGGGAAATTCATGCCAACGCCTGCCAACGTTTAAAAGGCCCATGTCATGCTTTTCCGGTTATTACCCGTCCCCTTGTGTGTTATGAAGGTTTTTCTGCATGTAAACGGTCTGCAGAGTCACAAACCCTCAAAGTACACCCTGTAGCGAGTAAAACTCTAACACAGAAAAGACCTGTCTATGCTGCCCCAGAACGCCTCGTTGGACATTTATCTTTTTCCATTGTTTACTTCTTGGGTATAGTGACGTAACGTAACGTAACGGCTCCGCAGGTTGGTCCAAATCAAATGGACCTATCCGCGGAGCCGTTGCGTCCGCGGAGCCGTTACCTTTGGTCCAATCCGTGGACTTCCTCACACACACACACTCGGCGCGCGGGACGTTGCGAGGCTCGCTGCTGCGACGAGCGGCACACTGTGAGCTGGCTCACTGGTGTGGGGTCGGCGAGACAGCGAGACACCGCGGAACTCAGCCTGGGCTCACACACAAACTCCCAGCAGGCTGCGGGTGTGTGTGTGTTCGGGCTGGTTTCGCTGTGTCTCGCTGTCTCGCAGACGGCCACTGGGCTCACAGGGAGGGGGGGGGGGGTAGGAGCTCCAACAAGCTGTTTATGACAGAGTGAATACACATGCTATACAGAGATGCTGTATGAGAAACCAATGTGAAATTGCACAATATAAATGAATTTCAGTAGACCTCAACAATGGAATTCTGATCAGTAGAAATGGCCATGACGGGACCTTTAAGTGTTATAAAGGTCAGCAGGTTGTCGTAGGGTCGTACATTTTCCATATCTGTCTTTTTATTCCATGTACATGACGTTTGGATGGCATATTTTGGAAAATCTCCTTACGTGTTCTTGTTTCTTTCCAGCTCTGATTGTCAGGTTTCTCACCAAGAGGTTCATCGGGGATTATGAAGCAAACACTGGTAAGTTTCCACACATCTGTCTGCAATAAAACGAGTATCATTTGTCACAATAAGCGGCAGAAACTAATCCTCCTGCTCTCTGGAAAACCCCCACCTATTGATCCTTTCCTTCATCCGTTGTCTTTTGCTCTCTGCAGGAGCGCTTTACTCCAGAAAGGTCACCCTGGATGGAGAGGAAGTGTCGCTTCAGATCCAGGACACTCCCTGTGTGGCGCTGCAGGTCACACACTCATTCAAATACAGCGTGTGCATCAAAACAAATACATGTTTATGAAGATTTGATGGGCTTTCTTTAGTGATGGAAACACATTTGTCACAAGAAAAGGTCACTGAATGTATCACCTGTTTCCGGGATATACCTACAATGCACCTTATGAAAGTTATAAAGTAGTTTTTCTCCTTACAGAAGATGTTCATACAGGCCTTAGCTTCCTACACTGTGATGGAAAACGTATTTAGATTTAAGTAAAAGTACAATCGCCACAGTCTAAACATACTCCTTTACAAGTACAAGTCCTGAGTTCAACAGAAGTATAATGGGCTAAGTGTACTCAAAAGTACTCATTGTGCAGAAAGGCTCTCCTAAAAGTGTTATCTTATTATTTGATAGTATATTATCCTGTTGTTATCATTAGAAAAGACATATAAGAGTTTTTAATGCTGTAATTTGTCCGTGTTTGGCAGGTTTTTGATAGTACTGAAGACATGTGTGGTACATATTGATAGTATATCAGATAAACACAACATTTGATGTATGTAAAAAGTAACTACCAATTTCAAATATAGGAAGTGGAAGAGAAGTACATGGTAGCAGAAGATATAAATACTCAAGTGAAGTACAAGTACCTGAGAATCATACTTAACCACTTGAGTAAATGTACTTAGTTACAGTCCACCACTGCACTGTTGGCGTCCAGTAGGAATCAGAAAAGCTCAAATTTGCTAAAGTAAGCTTTTCTGTCAAACTATTACTGAGAGTTAAAATTAATAGCATTCTTCGTTTGTTTTATAGCAAACATATTTGTATTGCACCATCTACGGTTGATTCATCCAAATCCAACATCTGCCACAACAGCTGTCTGTGCTAACACTACTGAGTCACTTGTTGATGGCAATGAGGAACAGACATTCCCCAAAATTCCCACATTTCATGTAAAATATTTTTGTTTTGAGTTATTGGTTGACTCTACAATATAAACTAAGCTTAAGTTTCTATTTACAGTGAAATATAGATGTCTAAATATGCTTATATCTTGAATTGAGTTTCTTCGATGCCATTGCCTGAAGATGAACTCATCAAAAGATGTTAGGAGAACTCTTCATTTGATCATAAAAGCCATTTGAGGAATGCATTTGAAGCAATAGGAAGTGGTCCATATCCTGGAGGATAATTGGTGCAACGTGCCACACCGGCGGTCTGTTTACAAAACCTCAGAGCCGCTCATTTCCTCCCTCCATTTGGGGAGATAAGGGAGGGTGAGGAAGTCTCTCCACTTCCAGAGATTAGACAGGAATAATTGGTGTGGAGGCAAAGAGGTGGAGAAGTCACTGAGGATCTGGAAGGTTGTTGAGGACTTTTTTAAATAGAGAAGAGTGTTGTATCAATAAAGCACGGTTAAGCCAGCACTAAGGCGGCACGTTATCCCAAAAAACAGACTCATCTTCACCTCACGATGACAGAAAATGTTTATCTCGGTAATAATGAGTGAAAGGAACGGCCCATCCTGAGCTGAGGACTGGGTGGTCTGGAGGGTCTGGAGTCAGAATGTCAAACCAGCTGTTGTGTGTCCATAAACACACATTTGTCAGTAAATTCTGAAAACCACCTGTTAACTCACTTTAAAGGGAACTCTGGAATGTTGCACCTGGACACTTTCCCCCATCCTTCTGTGTTCAAGAGATTTATGGTGACATACATTTTTGACTTTTGGTCTAGTGTCCATCCAGCTAAATATAAACATAATTAGACAAAACCGGCACTTTCCACCAAGAATTCAGAACACATTTTTCCCATCAAACAAGAATTTTTGAAAAAAAAACATCAGATCAAGCTAAAGGGTACAGAAAACGAAATATATTTTCTCTGTAAGGTCCTTTCCATACCTTTTTCACACAGTCTAAATAACAATTTCAACCGCTAAATGGCAAAAACCAGCCGCTTTTAATGAGACTTTTCCCCCTATCTTTGTGTTTTTAAGAGATTAATGGTGACATACATTTTTTAGCTTGTTCCAGCGTCCATCCAGCTAAATATTCAGACATAATTAGACAAAACCGGCACTTTCCACCAAGACTTTTAGAACAATTTCCCCCCTTGAAACAAGACTTGTGTTCAGATCAAGCTAAAGGGTAGAGAAAAAGGTACTTTCCTATCATTTTTCACACACTTAAACCAACAATTTGACCCGCTAAATGGCAAAAACCAGCAGCTTTCAATGAGGTCATACACTGACGGTGCAGAATTAGGATTAAAATGCAGCCATTTTTGCGACTGCCGGAACCAATTTCAAGAATTGTCGTCCCCTTTTGTCACTTAGTCTCTTAACGTGGGGATGAAAAGGGTCTACGTTGGATAAGATGGACGTTCAAGCTGCTTGGGTTGATGCATTTCGATGAACTTGGATAGTTGTGCACACTTCAGCAGTCTTTTTTAAATACAGGCCACTAAAAAAGTAGTTGTTTGAGGTTGGGAAAAGATCGTTTAGTGGTGTAATGTCTGGAGGAGACACTGACTATACTCTGCCAGTTAAACAGTGATTGATGGTTTGTGCTGAGCTCAGTCTGCTTTAGCTCAGAGCAATGAGGAAGTGTTTAAAAACAGTCAGTGTCCATTCCCAAGAGTAGTTTTTAAATCTGTGTGTCTTTTTCATTTCTTCAGGACGATGCTGAAGGCCTGTACTGCCAGGAGCAGATCAACAGGTACGATTCATCACTATAAACATTCAATAAACAACTAAATGAAGTTACTTCTGTGATCAATTTACAATATCTGAACTTTTTAAAGAACATCCATAAAGATTAATCTGTACATTTACTTTTATATTGACTCTTGTCCCACTATTGCTATTTTATTTGTATTTACTTGCACGTCTCAAAACATTCTCTTGCACTGTTTTATTTGTTCTATGTCCTATATAACTTAACACAAAAAGTAAGGCAATTTGTGTTTATGATTTCTATGTTGTAACAATGCTTCTTGGTAATAAATCTTATACCGTAGGAAAGCCTGTTTTCTTACCTTTCCAATGGTACCACATTTGTGACGAACAAGCATTTGATGGATGAGCAGCAGAGCTGAGTATGTGGGGTGCGCCCATGAAAAATGTGAATCTAATCTCCTTTGCCAATGCCAAACAGCTTTCTTGGCTGCTGACTCTAGTTTGGTGTTGTTTGGTGGATTGGATGATTTAAGTCTGATAAATGAAGGCATATTGGCAACATTTGGAAAGGTAAGAAAACAGGCTTTCCAACGGTATAAGATGTATTGCCAAAAAGCATTGTTACAACATAGAAATCTTCTACCAAACACAAATTGCCTTACTTTTTGTGTTAAGTTGATATTCATGCTACGTGTTAGAGCAGGGGTTCCCAAACTTTTCAGCCCGCGACCCCCAAAATAACAGTGCCAGAGACTGGCGACCCCCTGTCGACGGGGG